GATAAGACGTTTGACTACATCAACCACATTAAGTTAACGCTTCCGCTTTCGGTCTACGAGGATACGTGGACACACTCTCCCCTCTCGTTGCTATGCATCTCCTAGAAAGATCTTGCGTGAGCGTAGGAATTTTTTTGAAATTGCATGTTACGTTTCTCAATACGAGAGAGGGCGAGAAAGGTGGTCGGCGCTGGAGGCGGGGGAGAGAGAGATGGTTGTGGCGAGTGTGCGGCGAGCGGTGATGAAAGTCGGCTTTTATAGCGGCAAGGAGGCGACAGCAACGTGGACGCGTGGCAGGAAAGGGCGGGGCGCGTGACGGCTCGCCATCAGTGCGCCGCCCGTGATCAATGGAAGGCTGACCGACGACAGCCTTGGCATTGACTCGCGCTGGAGCCAAGGCGAGGCAATGAGGACGACAAAGCCTAGTCGCTGACTCTGCGGGCCCACAGGATGGGAATCGGGAGCGGGAAGTTTTAGCGCCATTTTTCTTTCCCCCGGCGCCCCTGGTCGGCCCCCAGCATGCTGGGTTTGGCCTGGGTCCGCCAACGCCAATTTTGTCCCAAACCTGCAAATTTTGGGCTCCTGAGGGCGCGACTGGGCGATGTTTTTGGCACCGGCGATAAAAAAGATGCCCTGGGGGCTCTTGGGGGCGGGTGGAGATGCTCTTACCAATCAACATATTTATGTTTCTCTCCTAACACGCCGAGCCGTTGCGACCTACATTTCACTATAATGTATTGCACACATTCTCAATGCATGTTAGAGAAATACTCCATTCATTTCTTTTTACTCCGCATATAAGATTTGCCTTAAATGAAAGGTCGTGAAATTTTACCAAATTTCTATATAAGCATCAACATCTACAATAGTTAAGGTGTACGAGGTATGCCAGATCCCGATCTCCTCCGCCTCCACCTCCCGTCCGCCTCCCCTCCCCTCCAGATCATGATCTCCTCCGCCTCCCGTCTGCCTCCCCTTCCCCTCTGCCTCCCCTCCCGTCGCTGCCGGATCCCGGCTGGGCAAAGCCCGTGCAGGGGGATGATGGCGGCGGCGGGGCGTCCCTGTGTCGCGGCTTGGAGGTGTGGCTATGACGGTGGATCTTGAGCGGGCGCCTCGGGACGACATGTGTGTGTCCATGGTGCCGTTCACACAGCGATGTGATCTCCTCTACCTTTGGTTGTCTTTATTGTTGGTCCAAAGGGATCTAGTCGGTTGGTGTTGCCTCATGGTGGCTTCCCGGGGGCGGATCAACTGGAGGAGGAGATGGTGGCCTAGCTGCTAAAGTGGGTGAGGATGCCATCATCGTTGGCGGCGCCCGTGGGTGTCATTTTCCTCGTTGGAGGCAATGTGGGGCATCCCTCGCTCCATTGTTTCCGATGGAAACCTCAGATCTGGAGGAGGCTACCATTGACGGTGGCGCCGTGGGCGTAGTAGCCCTCGTTGGAGGCGTTGTGGGGCCTCCTGGATCGGATGATCACGATATATTCATCGTCACCCCCATGAGGGCATCATCTTTGGAGACATTCATCGGCTGGACGGACATGTGAACGGCTTGGTGGACGTCGGTAGGTCGTGGAGCGGTGCTTCATCCTAAACATCAATGGTGGCGGATCTCATCGGCGTGGCGCAGTGGAGACTCCGTGTCCGATGGGTGGGGATGGACTCGCGTAGGAGGGCGATGTTGTCTGGCGTCGTGGTGACGTCGATGGTAGAGAGGCCTGGCAAGGTCGATGCATCAATATCTGATTTGAGGACGGATCAATGGATGAAGGAGGTGACGGACCTTGCATCATGCATATGTGGGTGCCCACTGAAAGTGTGCCAGACCAGTTTGTAACCCAGTCCAAGTTTTATGGCTTGGATGGGGCATCCGTCATTAGATGTTAGGTGTTGGTGGGATGTTTGTTTGGTATTAGGCTCGGACATTCGGCACCCCTTCATCACGGGAATAGGAGTAGCGACAAGTGTTGCCAAGATGGTGGCTTCAGGCTTACTGATGTATTACTTTGTAAGGACTTTGTGCATAATTAATAAAATGGTTGCATGCATCGCCCAGATGCAGAGGCCAGGTGTAAGTGCATCAAGTGCCCCCTTAGTGATTTTGGAGTATTGATGACAAATAGGTTGAGGAACTAATGAGTTTGTGAGTATAAACAGGAGACAGAGTTCCAAAAGATTTAGTTTAACACATGGAAGACGACCCCTAAAAAGTATTTCTTCAAGTGAAGAAATTGGTGATGAAATTGGTACGACCTTTTAAGGAATTGAAGTGAAGACTTTGAAGCGTGAAGATTTTGTTTTCATAATTTCCTTTCTTCTTCTTTGAGTCATAGGAAAAACCGTACTATTAAAGGGGGTCTAGGTGAATCATATTTCACATTTCCAAAGTGATGCTCAAACCTATACAAACCTATACACAAAAGTCGCTTCAGTGAAGCCTTTGGAAATCTCCAGTATAGCTGACGCAATTGCTAGCGACAGTGACGAAGTTCATTTGGTCACTGACGAATTTGGTCATGCTGAGGAGTTAGGAGTTCACCGGTGTGTTCTGCCTGAAAGTGAGGAAATTGAGTGCCCCGGTGAATTTGAGAGTTCAAATTCCAACCGTTGTTGCGCCGCGTGCCAGCTGTTGAGTGGATCCTTATCCTGACAATGATAGAATCAGAGAAGGGCATTATGACAATTCATGTCGGGTTGCCCTGGATATAAATAGCCGCCCCCACAACCACTGGTTGGTTGACTACTCCGAGAGAAACTGACACTTGTCATAAGAGAACAACCTATCCTCCGACAATTTTGAGAGAATCCTAAGTGAGGAAAAACCCAGAGCCAAAGTGATTGAGCATCACTGAAGAGATTGATCTGTGTGATCTGACGCCTATTACCTTTGAAGACTGTCATTCTTTCAGACGGTTAAGCGTCAAGTTCTGAGTACACCAAGAGTCATTGTGGTGTGTCGGTGAACAAGTCTGTGAAGGTTTTGGAAGTCTACTTTGAAGACTTACCACAATTGATTGGGCAAGGATTCAGTGACTTTAGCTCAAGAGGAATACGGTGAAGATCGTGTGTCCTCTGAGTTGCGACTCAGCCGCCTAAACTAGATACAGTTGATGCAGCAACTGGAACTGGTCTACAAAATTCCATTGTCTTCATCGAGCCAACCTGGTTTCAAATTCTTCAGCCCTCCCTTACTTTATTCTGCCGCTGATGAATTTGTAATCTATGCTCTGACGAATTTGAACTGAAAAATTTCATCTCGGTATCTTTCATTTCCTCAGTTCATTTTCTTCATGCGTGCATGATTGTATGATTGCATGTTGTTCACTATTACGTATCCTAATTGCATGTACTCTGATTCTATGATGACTTAGTTTCTCCCGTGTTTCTATTTCTCCATTTTGATCTTCGTCAAATTCGTCGGAGTTTGACGAATTTCTAAAAATCTCCCATTCACCCCCTCTGGGAGTAAACCTGCGCTTTCACCGGGGGTACATCCTCCCTTTCAAAAAAAGTTTAGGTGTACGATATGAATTAAGTCCTTGATGCATGTAATGATATTGATTTGATGATGTCAATGTTGATATTTTTTCCCACAGTCTTGGTGAAATTATATGAAGTTTGACTTAAGACAAAACTCAGATGCAAAGAAACAGAGGAAGTATTAGATTATAGTAGGGACACAGACTTGGAGCTCTTGGGTGCCCGTGAACCTTATACGAATAGTAACAAAAAAAACCAGGGAACATAAAGAAATGTGAAATTTTGGGGTATCAAACCTGGTCGATCATTTTACTCGGGTATGAAGTTTCGTGAAGAAATGGCGTGTGTGGTATTCTCGGCAGATAAGTCAAAAAAATCTATTGTATTAAAACACTGTGGGAATGAATCATCGACTGTATTTTCTTCACTAAGGCCAGGTGTGAACTTGTTCTTTTAGACACAGGTGTGGGCTTATTGTGTCTGTGTTCTTTTGATGCTTCGTTATGAGTCAATGAAATCAGCTCGATTCGTATATGCCCGCAAGCTGATTAATGACAACCCATTCAACTTTGACACGAAAGGGCCTACGACATCCCACGTGCGTCCTCCTATTCAGCGCGCTCCGTGCTGGGGGGGTGGGTCACAGTGCGCACCCTTGCTCCCCTCGCACGGCCATTTGGGCCGGCCCATGAGCGGCGGTGGGGCGCCCCCTATTTTTTCTTTTTGTTTTCATTTTTCCTTATTTAAATAATTCAGGATTTAGAAATATTTCCAAATTAAAAAATATTAGATTCAAAAAGTTCGTGGAGCCAAAAAATGTCCCAGAATACAAATAATATTCACGAATTTGAAAAATGTTCCTGATTTCAAAAAATGCGAGTGAATTTGGATATTGATGATAGTTTTCTGAATTTGATGAACATCTTTAACAATTATGGCGAACAAAATTTGAATAGGATCCACATTTTTTTGAGTTAGATGAACAATGTTTTTTGAAAAAATTGATGAACAAATTTTGAATTCCATGATCAAAATTTGAATTTGATAAACATTTTTAGAAATTGATGAATATTTTTCGAAAATGATGAACTAATTGTGAATATGATGAACATATTTTGAATTTTTATGAAAGTTTTTTAAATACAATGAACAAAAAAATGAATTCGATGAACATTCTTTGAATAGGATGAACAAAAAAATGTTCACGAATTTGAAAATAAAATTCGCAAAAACATGTGAAGAAATTAAAGAAAAGAAAAAGGGAAAAAGTAAAATAAAAAACTAAAAAAGAAAAGAAGGAATAAACTATAAAAAAGGTAAAATGGGCCGGCCCATACGACATCCAGAGCTAAAGCACGTGATTCAGTCCACGAAAGTCCACTTCCTCTCCAATCCGACCCACCAGAGCCCAACGGAAAGCTTTCCCTACCTCATCCTCTCGTCATCGTCATCCCCTTCCTTCCTCCTCGCAAAACCAAACCGGAAGCAAACGACAACACGCGAGAAGAAAGGAGAGGACGATGGTGAGGAAGAGGAAGGAGCTGCTGTCGTCGGCGCCATGGCGGACGGGGGAGGCGGAGGAGGACGACGAGGCGTCCAGGATGAGCCGCGAGGGGAAGGTCACCGTCACCAGCAACCCCGGTGAGACGCCCACCATGAACATGCCACGCAGCAAGCGCCCGGACCTCGACCTCGCCGTCGACGACTTCGAGGAGGACGAGATCGACCCCGAGCTGCGCTACTCCTTCCAGCGCAACAGCAGGGTATGGCCCGCCCGCGCCACACACCAATCTCTTCCCTCCCCCTATGCCTCTTCCTTGTTTATTGGTGTTGGGCGATTCGCTCTAGGTGTTCGACGAATTGTGAACTCTCAGAGGCTGCAGTTGTAACAGAAGGAATTTCCTCAGGATTAATTAACAAGTTTAGGGTTCAATCAACTGGTAATGGACCTAATGGTAGTAAAACTGAAACAATAGATTTAGTTTTTTTGGATAGAGGCACTGCAAAACCATCTGAACATTGTTGGCCAAAATTCACAAGATTGCACTTCACCTTTGACTGTCATAACCCTAACCATAATAATTAAGACAAAGGATCAATAGCAACACAATTTTGTAAATTGGATTAAATGAAATAAACAGCCCCACAATTGGCAACTCTTGGTTTCTCTCATATAATGGTTTCCATCTTAATTCAGGTGACCATATTATTTACTCAAGATATCGACAAAAATACTTTTAGTTCATGTAAATAATTTGCCACTGACAAGCACAGTTGTGTAAATGGAAGGCCATGTCCAAGTATCATCTACCCTGCACGGCTTTTATCACAGTTTTTCTTGACTCTTTGCTAACTTGTTCATCATAGTAGTCCTACACATAGAAACAGGGATCATGGGTCGACGCCACATCCCTTGACCTGTGATCGATCACCCCAGTCAAGGGTTAGTGTCAAGTAGGGATCACCATGGGTTGACGGACTTAACACAGCCCAAAACAGTTGCTCTCGATCCCAAATGAGAACTTGCACTATGCAGTCGTCGTTGTGTGTCACTTGGCGCTCCTCATCCTGCTATTACCATGGTGGCACCATGACCGCTCTTGGATGTTGCCCGCCCCTTTCCTGCGCTGAGCGTACCTGTGGTTGCCTTTGATTCTTTGTCAGACAACTACAGCGGTGCTTCAATCTATCGCTGGTGGATGGAGGGGTCAGAAGTGACAGCAGGATGGGTGTTGGTGGGAGCTGAAAGACTGATGGTTAGAATATAACTAACACATGGTGTTCAGGACTTGGTGGTTGAGGGTAAGATGCTAGGGCTGGAGTACGTGAAAATAAGAGAGATGTGTGTGCTGTGCTAGGCCAACCTTTTCCATTTGTTTTACGATTTAGACATTTGATCTTCTATACTTGTTTGCTATATCAAAACTTTTAGCCTCTAAAAATTGGCGTGAGTGAAAAAAAAATGGTACTAGTGATCTCAGTGAAAAAAACTATGTCCTACCATGGCCGTCGACCTGGAATTGTTTGGTTTGTGACCCATCCTCCCAAAGAGGTATACCCCTTGTTGCACCTCAATCCAGAGAGGGGTTGCAAACAGGCGATCCTGATATTGTGCATAAGAACTATCACAGAGATCACCCGCAAAAAAAAAACACTATCACAGAGATATTGACTTCTTATTTGGTAAAAGATAGATATTGTCATTGTGTGTGATTCCTAATACTTCATTCACTTTGTGTGGTCCTAATGTTTCATTCACTTTGAAGTTTATGTAGATGTCTAGACGAATAAGCAAATCAACAAATCCCACCTATCGAGGATAACTGATTTTGAAATGAAGGCATCTTGTACTTACTTTTGTTCGTTGTTGGTTAATTGTCTGATAAGAAGCCCTTTGTTTTGCAGTTTCTGCGGAGAGTTTTCACGGTGGATACACTTGTCAAGCCTCTTCCTCCTGTGATGGCATACAGTGTCTCCCGTAATGTGAACTTTTTCTTCAAGATCTTCACACAGTTCTGGGGTGAGCTCAGTCAATGGCAAGATAGTATTGTATTAACCTGGTTTACACTGATCCTATTCGTTGTTCTGTAGAACGCAATTTAGCATTTCCTCCTAGTGAATAAACTAACTACTCACTGTTATTGATTTCAAGCCACTACATCATCTATTATAGATGTTATTGATATCCTATTCATGTACCAAGAATAAAACCGACTAAATAACATTCTTCTCAAATGCGTCGTGTCACTGATAGCTGATCCGTATTGTGTTAATCTAAATATGTGCCAGATGCCCAGATATCAAGATAACTTTATCTATTTAGTTCACTTATGTAACGTGCCCCTCGTTGTTTTTTCAATTACGACACAATTGCTTATTTCTGCTTTGACTGCATCTCTTGCAGATGAAGAAGGAATTGCCAATGCACAGAGATCCCTTGGACTGGGAAGTGAGGATAGCTCCCGGCGGTTTCGCTGATTACGGACGTGCCATGGAACAAGTTGCTGTGCTAGGCTGTGGAGGACCTATTTATGATTCAGAATACGGGTGTGGTCTGGCTAGTTTTCAGGACTTGTTTATGCTTTACAAGACGGGTGTGGTCTGTCTAATTTTGAAGTTTCATGCATTTTCCACTAGTAAAAATGGTTGCATTATATGCAGAGCTTTGTACTCAGAAAAGTCGTTTGTTTTCGTTTAAATTTGAAAAGATAAAAAGTCAGTGCATGTGCCCAAGTTCCCATATTTTGAAACAGCTTATGGCCCTTCATTGGATGTCATGTTTGCATCCATATCCTCGTTACGCTTAGCTACACCAATCATTGGAGATTCATTTGTCACTCGAGAAAATAGAACTGATGTTCTTGGTAAAAAATAAAGAGGAATAGAAGCCGGCGGGAATCGAAGGACACATCCCTGTTTATAAGGGGAAATGGCTACTGTTTAACAGGTTTGTTTTTCTCAGTCAAACAAAACAAATAGGACCATATCTTCCTCCTTTTTCCTCTTATAACTCTTCCTATGGCAGAAAGCAAATCAACATTTGTTGGACCAGCAAGGCTCCCTAATTAGAAACCATAAACTATGCATCTCTAGGGGGATTGATTTCTGCATGCATAGCCAGGCATTTCTCCTTTGTTCTAACAGACACTGCAACTTGCCAAGCTCTGCATTGGCTGCTTTTGGTGTTCCTAGATTCAGAGCCAAAGGCAGGCAGGCAGGCAGTGGTCCTGGATAGTAGTTTGCTCTCCTCTGCCTTGTGCATTTGCATCATACAAAAGTGGGCTTTTCAGACACCATTGGCGACCGACTTGTAGCAGCCAATTGATGATTACTAAGTACTTGTTGTCATGTCTTAGTACATCCACCATGCAGCATAATAACAAAGACAAAGAGGAGAGAAAATTCAATGCACCATAGCAGACATGAGCAAGTGCTTGCACATTGTGCCACTAGCATATTTCTAGTCCTTCTATTAAGTTTTCTATGTGCCTAGGCATATCATAGACTAGGTATAGGTTTGCATATCATCTCTACCTTAATCTATGTAAAACTTAGATAGGTTGAACATGGTCATTAAATTAACATAACAGTCTTGCTACATCTCAGTCTACTGAGACTTGGTTATGTCTCATTCGATGCTATATCCGATTGAGATCTTTGCAAAATTTTCTGTTTAGTTTTTTCTTTTTCTTTCTTGCAAATTATGTCACATGACTGAGGCTTCGTTAAATCTTAGTCGACTAAGATCTAGCCACACCTTTAACATAAATGCGGCCGCAGACGACAACAACAACAACAAAGCCTTCAGTCCCAAACAGGTTGGTGTACACTAGAGTTGAAATCCATAAGATGTCTAAACCAAGTCATGGTTTTGGCGCGTGGATAGTTAACTTCCATACACCCCTGCCCATAGCTAAATCTTTGGTGATATTCAAGTCCTTCAGATCTCTTTTTACGGACTCCTTCCTTGTCAAGTTTGGTCTACCCCGCCCTCTCTTGACATTATCAGCACGCCTTAATCGTTTGCTATGCAATGGCGCTTCTGTAGGCCTGTGTTGTATATGCTCAAACCATCTTCGACGATGTAGACAAGCTTCTCTGTCCATTGCCGGTTAGCAGATTAAACCGACCAGATATCGTGAACCAAAATATGAAAGGAGTAAAAGTGGCCTAGTTCTTGTGTGATATTGCTCCATAAGATGCTTCGTTAAACTAGAGCCCTAACTACAAGAATCTTGGAGGAATTCGATCATGGATTGCTTCGCGCAGCTGCTGCGCACCTTGGTTATGAAACGAGCGCTAATGCGCTTGTATAGTTTAAGACATAAATATAATATCTGATAAAGGTAACTTTTTCACCCTAGGTAGAAATATAACAGCAATCTGTAGCCGTGAAGCCATGAGCTTAACTTTGGGGATATAAGCAGTATTATTTGCAGCCTGCTTTTAATCTGATGATGTTACATAATATGATTGGCTGGGCTTCATTCTTGATTCTCCAAATTGTTCATTACCATTAGACTCATTTTAATATTTGGATGATTTAAGAGAGGGCCATACTTTTCAAGAGCCAATGCTAATATTCCCTGATTATTTAAGATTGCTGAACTAGTTGCGTATTTGTGACAAAATGCGCTTTACTTGGTATAACTTCAAATATATTCCTTGAAGCAATCTTGTTGTTGATGTCTCTAGTTAGTTATGTATATCTGTAAGGACAGGGCCATGATAGGCAAGATTGCTATCTCAACATAGAGTAGTTTTTAAATTGAGCTTACAGCAGCCACCTAATAAGGCCAAAGAAGCATGAACAGAAACTGACCTACAATAATAACATATCCATGACTAGCCAGGAGCATAGTACTAGTATGCATCTTTAACTACAGTAGCAGCATGTTATGCTGGTGGATTAGAGAACACTGGAAAGAGCTAGCATCTAAAAGGTCTCAAGTGTCATAGGCCAAGCATGTAGCTGGAGGAGATGACATGACAGCAATCTTTCTCTTGGGAATGTCCAATGAGCACTCACTCTCCTTTGCCCTTTCATTAATCAAAAGGCAAATTAATTGGGATCTGTTGAAGCTTTATGCCCCAAACCACTAGCATCTACTATGAAGCATCCCACAAGGAGATGTCTCACCAGGTGGCAGCCTCCCACAGCCCCTCCATTTCACTGATGAATCCAGACTGACATCTGGGAGAAGTGGTTTTTCTTGTTCTCATCTCCATACACCCTTTATGCAAAACCTTTAGGGACTGACTCTCCAGAACTTGTTTGTCAACCATTGATGTGAAGGTATTCTTGAAGACCAAAGCACAAATTTTATATGTGATGCAGGCAATCAAAGAACTTGCAATCTGAATCAAACGTGAGACAATGGGCTTCTTAAGGCTCACAAGTCTCCAGAATTCAGATTCATGCACACCTTCAAAACCGGGGAAGATGCATTTAGTTTCTAGAACCACTCATGTTTTATTTTCAGCGCATAATGTAGAGATCAAAATAATTACTCTATGTTTATGCCAGGGCGTATTTTTAACGAGGAAACATCGTTTTCGCCAACAAGGTACTATATATTCTCATTCGGAAGAAAAAAGAGCAACTTTCATGTGTCCTCAAGTTTACCCTGTGTTTGCTCTGCTTTGTGTGTGCCAAAAAGAAAATGTTAAGAGGGTGATAGGGATGAAGAATTTTTTGGAGCACTATCAAGTGAGGTGTTTAAAACTGCAAATTGTTGGGTACAGATGCTTTGTCCAACAAAAGAGATGGAAAAGAGGGGTTATTGACATGACACCAAATGAGCATCCTGTTTTGATTAAGCTAGCAAAGCTAGCTATCTTTATAACAAGACATATAGTCGTAAAGCAAACAGAGGAGGAATTCATAGACAGACATTAGCCACCTAATGTTGTGGCAAAGAAGGTCAGCAAATTGTTCTAAAAAAACAGAAAAATGACAATACATCTAGCACTTATCTGATCTCTTTACAATGCGTTTTCTTTGTTCCTCTATTTCCTTAGTCCATCATACTTGTGCCAACAGAACAAATTTACTAGTAATCATTAACACTTGATCTTTTTTTGTATGGAATTTCACTAGTTTGTGCCATACATTTTTGTTGTTGTTGTTGTTGTTGTTGTTGTTGTTGCATCAAAGGTTGACTTCAGAAAGCTCATCCGACCCGGCTGTCATGTCAATTGGACGGTCACGATCGATGTCCGTTCCATGAACCGCCACATGTTTCATCTTGGCGAACTCAATAGAATGGAACACAGTCATGAGGCCAAGTGTAAAGGGTGTACAACATGTGTGCATCGCCACACATGGATTCCAAGGTGCCACACCAACTTTCTTCCCTCCCATCTGTTAGCTTGACCGCCCAAATGCCTCAAACACTGATTGGTAGGGGACGATGTAGGCCTAGAGAGGCAAGTATTATTATTGTGTGGGATGCGAGGGGAGGGGGAAGGGAATTGGTTCTTGCTCCCACTATAAAAACGACGTCTCTAGCCTCACCTGTGGTTTAACCAGGACAGTAGTCTCACATAGAGAGAGCTGCAAGGGTGCAACCGCAGCAACCTCGAAGCTAGTCCAAACTAGTGGAAGGTTGTGTGCAATCCATCTTCTTCTTCGTCTCTCCATCTACTCCTTATCAATCATCCACCCATCCATCCATCATCATCATCATCCATGGCGAGAGGCAAGGTCCAGCTCCGCCGCATCGAGAACCCCGTCCACCGGCAGGTCACCTTCTGCAAGCGCCGAGCGGGGCTCCTCAAGAAGGCCAGGGAGCTTTCCGTCCTCTGTGATGCCGACATCGGCATCATCATCTTCTCCGCGCACGGCAAGCTCTACGACCTCGCCACCACTGGGTATGACTAGCTAGGATATGTACTTCCTCTCAATTCTCTTGATTGAGCGGTTGCTCTCCTTCAACCTCGAGCTCATTCATCTCTTCTTGTCTTCGTCTTGAGCAGAACCATGGACGGGCTGATCGAGAGGTACAAGAGTGCCAGTGGAGAAGGCGTGGCCGCCGACGGCTGCGGCGACCAGAGAGTGGTAATTAAGCTTCTTCTCATGTCCTCTCCTGTTCATGTACAAGTCTAAGTCACACATGGGACTTTTAAGTGGGCATGTCAGTTCTAAAACTTGGTGAAATTCTAAAACTTGACCGTGTTTGTCACTAGGACCCAAAGCAGGAGGCAATGGTGCTGAAACAAGAAATAGACCTTCTGCAGAAGGGACTGAGGTACTCCATCCTGCTTAGACATTTCGCTTTGCTTCTACAGGTCACATTATTTATGCCCAAGTAAACATCACATTAGCTCACAAATGGAGATGAAGTGATATACGTTTCCAGCATGTCTAGTTTATTTCATAAGCACCAACATATTTTATCATTCAAAGCTGCCCTGGCAGTGGCGGACCTTCAACGGGATTTGAGAGGGGCTAAATGAGTCTTGAGTAGAGTTGAAAG